TATATATATATATATCAACCACCCTAGTGACTAAACCCCTCCGGACTTTATGGATTACTGCACATCTGTCATACACTTACAACGATCCGGACCTCGACGAGAACGATAAACCTATTATTCCCACGGCTTTGGGTGGTATACCACCATTGTTATTTGGTTTGAAGGGACGTCTTTACTCGGAAGGTGAATCTCATCAACCCTAACCCTTTCTTCCTCTGCTCAAAGCCTTCCCCCTCTGCAAACCAGTTTTAACCTGTTCATACTAACATGAAAGTATTTTTATGGAATGCTGATTTTTTTAAATTGCAACTAAGTTGTTTTTGTATTATTTAACATTAATAAGATTATCATATTATTACTTTCGTCTCTATCGAAAAGCAATAAATAAGCTTACAGAATGTTTGTACAGTAAATCATGTCAGTATCCTTGTTTACGACGTAAAGATAAAAATCTTTCCTCCCTTCCCTTTTTAGTAAAATTTATAAAGATTTTCCAATAAAGTTTAACACATTGTCAGTATCTTCAGATTTGTTCATAGTCATAAAAAACGCTATGACTAAAGAAAACAGTTTTTTGTACATAGTTAAAAGTAATAAAGAAAATTTCTTATATTCACAGCCAATTGTGATATAAAAACTTTGATTCTAATTTTTTCTCTGTTTATCATTTTTAATAGGTTTAAAATAGAAATGAAATAAGACTTTCAATAGCTTAGTTGTTAGCGTGATAGCCTTCTAACCGTAGATACTCGAAGTGTCGTGGGTTCAAATCCCGTCGAAAATTATCGTGGTCTTTTCTCCATCTTTTCCGAAGCGATGGGTATCCAGGATGCCATAACACCACTTATCTGAATTGTAAAACGAAAAGTGCACTTTTGCTGATGATGTCTGAATCTCCAGGGGCTTCCTTTGCGAAGAAAAGCCAACACCTCACCAGCACATTGAGTAAAGTTACTGTTGGTTACAAAAAGGTCGGTACAGTGAGTTCGATGGTTTATTGGAAAAATATCTCTCCATTAAATTTGATAACAACTAGGGTGTCCTTGAGACAATCGCTGCGTCGTAAATAGTACCCAGTAGGATGGATGACCGAGTCGTCTGAGGAGAACTTTGCAAGGGGCCCACACGAAAAACTCGCATACTTGGAGAAATTATTGGTATTTACGAAAAAAAAAAACATAGAAGATAAAGACAAGGGACATAATATACGTAATAACCCTGCAATGGGTATACGTTGCAATCATACTACTATTACTACTACTACTAGAAACGAAATAGTTGATTAAAAAAAAAAAAAAGGAAATTTATAAGGAGTTATAAAAGCCTTATACCATACAATAAAATCCACTGCTTCTTTTTTTTTTGTTCTGATAATTTTAAAATAGCATTAGTATTTGCTAAATCTAAAGCTTAGAAAAAAGTTTTGTTGTTGATGAACTTTTGGTTATTCATATAAAATGTTCTGTTAAAAGGGATTTAAAAGTTGTATTGTAGTGTGTTCTCAAACTGTTGAATAAAGTTGCTCGTCTTAAAAGTCCTAAAGTAGTTAATTTAGCTTCACAACTTACAAATAAGTAAAAATAAGTATTTGACAAAGAAAAGAAAAAAAAGAAGCACAATAAAAAAAGCCATCACTGTTAACAGCTTAGTTTTATTAATCAATATTAAGACACTTACAAAACTATTAGTACCTGCACGTTTAAAAAACCATGTTTTTAGTAAACAACTTAAAGATACAAAAATCATTTAGAAAACACAGCAATAGCAGATTAAATTTAAAGTCTTATTAAGATCACAAGAAATTTTCATTAAAGCTATTCTTGAGTATTGAGCATTCTTAAATGAACAACAAGACCTGAAGGTTGGAGAATACATAACAATAGTTAATGTCAAG